GCCTTAAACTCGCCGGCTGTGTGGGGACAGCGTCTCCTTTCCCGAAACCCGGTAGCCCCGTCCCGGTATTTGCCGATGACAGGCGAGGAGGAGGCGAAATTTTGCCCCTGGGGAGCTGCGGGGGGCGGGCGGCTTGAGGGAAGGTTTCAGCCGGGGGGGAGCGTGTGAGACTTGGGGGTTCAGGTTAGGAACAGGCATCGAGGGAGTGAGAAAGCTTGTGGGCCTGGAGAGGAGTGTCAAATCTCAGGGGAGAGTGAAGAAGGGGGTGACGGGCAGTTAGGATGAGGAGAATTAAAGAGAGCAGCGGAGGGAAAAAAGGGATGGAAAAAAGAGAAATACTAGGAGAAAGAAAAGTACTAATTTAAGAATATTGGCACATGGGTGGGAAAAAACCCCCACAAATCCAACTAGCATGCAGAGCACTCTGTGTCTGGTGTAACTCAGCTTTGAAAACTTTTAAAATCTCCTCAGCTAACTTCTGGAAGTGAAAGCCGCATCTAAAGCACTAAGAAAACCCAAGGCTCTGCCATCTCTGCTGTCAGTGAACTCTGTTTCCAAGTACAGCTGCATACATTAGCAGTCCATAATGAGCCTTGCAGAGAATAGCGGGTATATTTGGGGAACTCATGTCTGGATGGCGTCTCCATGCGACGTGGTGACGGTGGTGTGTTCACTGCGTAGGTGTGTGCTGCGCTCGGTGCAGCTTTATGTAATGCGCTCTTCCTATATAGGAAGAGTTGGGATCCTGGGGAGCTTGTCCCACACAATAACCCAGAAACCACCTAGCATGTAGCAACTTCCCAATATGATCACACTTTTTTTTTGAGATTTATTCTTTCACGAAGGAGTCATTTGATTTCAGCCCTTCAGTGATTTACCCCTTAACAGTGCTCTTTGCGGAGAGGCTCTGAACTGATCTCAGCAACCCCTGAACTTGAGTCCCTGCTCTGAAGTGGTAGAGCCCCAGCTGCTACAACGGTTCATCCTTGCTCCCTGGACTTTGGTTAAGCTGTGATGATCTTTGTCAGCTGTGAATTTGCCACTGGAGCTCACTTTCATAATTGCTTTTACTTGGTTAGGCTTAGGGCAGCGGTAGTCATTCACGCCACAGGGCTAGTCCCGTCACTCACAAAGGATTTTTAACATCTTTCCTTGTCTTGCTTTTTGTGCCACAGCAAACTCAACATGCCAGGCAGGGATTTATTTGGCTTTACCATCTTTCACCCACATTAGTGCCAGCTGGTGCAGTTGCAAGTGCCTGGGCTTTGCACCTTCCTCATTTCATATCCTGCTGCTTTAGATGTGATCCACCTGGCTGTTTCCTTACTTTTGAGGCTATTTATTACTATCACCATCTTACTCATCACCTTGCATTACCTATCACAGTAGCGACTCCAGCCTCTTAGTCATCAGAGACCTTTTCCCCTTCATCACAGTTTGCTGTGTTTCTAAGTGCCTTCATCTGTTTTACCCTTGTATTTCCAAAGCGAACTCCTCAGACGCTAATATAACTCGTGCACTGTCCTCTAATTCCTCCAAACTTTTTTCTTGTGATGCTCACTAAAAATATTGGGCTGCTTGGGAGTGAGAACTCCTGCCTGTTGTGCGGTGCTATTTTCTAGGTTTCCTGCTTGTTCTCTCTGCCTCTGTCACTCAGGAAACTTTCTGGAGCAGGGTTTCCCTGTATTTATACAGCTCCTAGTGTGGTGGAGATTTAGCCTCTGACTTGGAACTCTAGGTGCTATGGTCAAATAAATAATAAATCACAATAACTTGCTGTAAAAAGATAACTGTTGGGCTATTGAATACTAACAGTAAAGAAGATGTTTACGTTTTCCAGATTAACTTTCATAATTAATCCAAATAGGGTGCATTATTTTTCATAACCAAATGCATCCTAGGGAGATGAAGAACACAGTTCAAATTTTGTTGAAAATATTTTACAATAAGTAAATACTTAGTTTTGATTTTTTAATTTGTTTGTATTTTTTTTAATTTCTGCATTTTTAGTACAGCACTGAGGGCATGTACTTACCTGCTTTCCACTGCTGTGACCACGCTAATAAGCCAGTAGATCTTTCCCCTGTGTCTGAGAATCCTCAGCTGACATAAAACTCCCACACTGGTTTAACATAGCTAACATTCACAGCATCCTCTTTTGAGGGAGATTGCTGAGATTTCTGTAAGCTTGTTAATGCTTTGTGACTCTTTTTGTCCTGCAATACACTTGTTAGCTCTCTCTTACCAGAATGTTCATTTTTAGAGAAAGGCCTTAAACAGAGCCTTTCAAACTGAGTAGGATCATCATCTAGTCTCATCTCCTGATGTTACCCTTATTTCATGGTAAATATTAACTTTACTCTTATTTAGCTTCTTTTTTTCTAAGGGGTCCAATGCAGACTTGCATTAGGGTGATCAAAAGAAGAACTGGGATCTACTGTGTTCCATCTCTGTGTCTCATGCACAAGTATATAGGTGAACAGCTTGCCGCAAATGCAATGTGGTAATTGTGTGTCCATGTGTCTCTTTTGAAGCTGAGAAACATGCTGGTGTGTCTTGCGTGACAGCGTCTATGGATGACATACAGTTTGAAGAGGCTGCCAGGTACAAAACAAGCTAACAGTTGAATGTTTTCATTCTAGAGATTCTTACCTGGCAGAAATAAACTGAGGCATTATAAAATCTGAGATAGCAGGCCGATGAACTCCCTGGACCCACAGGGTTAAGTCTCTAAAAATTGTTCTTTTCCATCTGTGATAGCCTGACCCACCTAGAAAACAGATCAATTTTGCAGGTCAAAAATAAACTGTGGTTACTTTGACTTGGCAACCTAGATGCTAGGTGAGAAACTGATGGCCCAGTGATCTTTGGCTCTAGTTAAAGTGAATGCTGCAGGCCATTACTATCTCTGTTAAATAAGGAATACATACCTATAACAGTTATTGTATGAATTTTTTTTGTTGCAAGTGCTCTTTCAGTTTATTTCTTACCATCTCTTTCTTTCAGCTCTTTTAAAAAAATGTGTTCGTGTAACAAAACAGAAATGTTTTGCATTTGTGATCACTGAATATTGACTGAGTCTACAAGATAATACAGGACTTAATTTTTGCTTTAACCATTTTTCATGATCTTCCAAGGGATAAAAGACATTCTAAGAAGAAATAGCACATTTATTCCTAAGCCATATCTTTACAGAAACTTAAAGCCATTACATTGTAGTTTTTGTGTGTTCTTACACCTTGTAATCTGGAAATTAATGAGTGCTTAGATGGGATGGACCTGGTTACACAGACCAATGCACATGCAGTTGTCCTGACTGTGAACCGAGCAACATTGGCTGTCAGATGTACAGCTGATGTCAGTTTAAAACTGTTTGCAGTACACGAGTGTAAAACAAGCATCCGCTCACACTTCTGAACAGCAGATTTCTAGAGTAGTGGCCATTGGGATGAGAGCTCGAACCACTAACAAAGAAGTGAACATGGTCATACTGAATCTAGAACTCAAGAGAATTTCTTGGTCTGTTTTACAAAATGAGTTTTAAAGTGTTTGTCCTGCCTGTAATTGTTCTGTGTTTTTAATTTTGTCCTTAGGAAAAAATTCTGTCTGTGAAAACCATAATCAAAGAGTCCTACAAATGAAGTCAGGGTAATGTTTTTCTTTCAGGCGTATTTCAGACTTCAGTAGCTTCAGAGCAATTTTCTCTCTTGTTTCTGAGAGCAGAACAGAGCTTCTAAAAGACAATGAAAATACTTTTCCTTCCAAATTTGTTTCTAGGTATGTCTGTAGTTCTCCTTCTACTTGTGGTGCCAATGTTTTATTTTTAACAAGCGTAGTAACTGTGAAGTGGTTTCAGTAATTATTTTTCAACCTCAGGTCATCCCTAACATCCTGTTTGTATCTTACTGTGTAATTTCCTAAATTTTGCCAGATCTTGTTGTTTATACAAACATCTTGCATAAATAAGAGAGCTCTTGTAACTCACTCTAGTAAATTAAAAAGATGTTTTGTAAGTTACCTGCTGCAGGGTTTCATTTACCTAACTCAGGTTACCAAATATTCTGCAAGGATTAACTCTTCTGTGCATATTTCTTTTCAGTTGATGTGGAAACAGAGATTTCCACAAATCTATATATTGCAAAACTCAGTTTTATGCCACGATAACAAATAAATCCCTCTTCCTTGTCTTTTAATATGCAGCAGTTCAGTGGTAGTAAGAACATCTGATTTTAAATTACATTTATTCAAATTTTGTTCCTGCTCCATATGCGAGTCATATTCAGTTCATTCTGATATATTGCAAAAGCTTTCTTCTGCCAGTTACAAGTGAAAGCGTGGTGTTCTGTGACTTACGCCCTTACGTATCTATTTAAATGCCCAAGCTGATCAGCTCTCTTGGCTTAAATAAATCAGTTTATCCAAAGTCAGAATACGTGATACAATGTAAAACATTTCATTTTGGAACAGCTTCCGAAAGTATATGAAAAGACATTTCCCTATCATACTGTCTGACCATCTCAGTTCTGACACCTTTAGTTTCTGATATGGTCGTGGACCCCAGAGGACTACACTTTTCTACAGTGAAATGTGAGTCCAGCTGCATAGGCTGCTTGGAGCACCAGGGGAGATGTCAGCCAGTCAGGGTATCTAATGTCTGTGAAGTCCAAACTTGCCTTATTGCAGGGCTGGCGTTAGGCTGAGTGAGATCACACCCAGCTTTGTTCCGTTGTTCCCACCCTGCAGGTTCCTCAAAGGTGGGCAGACCCAGACTTACCTCTCTCAACCTCTCTTACACAATGTTCTTGCACAGAGGAAGAGAGGTCACCAGGGAGGTGTCACTGACAAAGGTGAAATAAACACTCTTTGTACAGAAGAACAGCGCCCTGCCAGTAAGCCCTGAGGCAGAGAGCTCTGCAGTCCCTGCTGGGAGCTCATGGACAATCTGGCATCGTGATGCTCTTGGCATCCGTAGAGACTCTGAACTCTCCCTCTTTTGAGGAAAGTGTCACACTCACTATCAGTATGTGTCGTGTTCAATCATAGAATTTATCTAATGAATATATTCTATCTTTTTTTCACCTTGTACTTGTCATTACCTCTACTGCTGTGTTACCATAATTCTCTTGGGAGTTTTATGACAGATACAGAGTCTTCAGAGGTGCTTCAGGGTACTTGACTGAGTTCTGTCTCTAAGCTTTCTAAAGCCTTTTTACGAGACCGTAATGTTAACTTATTTTCCAAGCTTAAACATAAATACTGTGTTACTGTTCTGAACACGTTCTCCTTTTTGTAAATGAGCTGGTGGTTCCCTTAGCTGTGCAGGTTAGAACTATGACATTAATGATTGTGCTTTTTCTTTGCAATGAATGATGGAAAAATTCCTTCTGAATACATTCTTCAAAATCTAATGAGGGCTGTGTATCTGCAGATGGTCTTAATTATTTTCTCTAACCATTTTTTCCCCTGTCTACTCAAAGGCTTCCACTTGTGTTTTTGAATGTGAACAAGAAAGAGAAAGTTTCTGCGTAGTTGGTTGTTCCTGTCTGGTACTGTAAAGGAGCAGGTTTCTTATTCCCTATTCTACTGTTTAGTAACAACTCATTTGAAGTTCTGGCAGTGTGAGAAGCAATTTAAGAAAAGCCTTACCTTTAAATGTCAAAACCCTATTCATTAAATTAAGAAGAAATTATAAAGAGTATTTTTTTTTTATAAACTGGGGTCATAACTGCGCCAAATCCTTAGCTGTAAATGCCTATTTCATAGGTACTCAAGTGGTCTGAGTTGTATTTTGCAGTCTTGGATGTAGCTAGCTGCACTTTGCCTGCTCTGGGACTGATCTTTAGCAGTTGTAAGTCAGCCTAAATTCCCTGAAGGCAGTGGCCTGATGCCCAGTGATTTTGACTGTGGTTCTGACTTACCATGCTCATCATGTCCTTTTACTGCTCTGTTCAATAAGACAGCTTTAGGGGAAACTGCCTTCTTTCCACCCTTTCAGCATTGCCTTGTGTTAGGATATTAGGGGTTTGAAAACAAGAGTTACTCTTGTTATCAACACATAACAGGTACTTGAGAAATTCCAGAAGGAAAGAAATTATTTTCTCATTTAAATTTGATTCTATGTAGGTAAAAAGATGTAATTCTGTTTAGGTATTCTGTGTAGGTAAATGGAAAAGAGTAGGTGTTCAGAGGTATGCTGTTCGGACAGAAGGGACATGCTGCAGCCCTGTTCTTGGCCAAAACTTGGAAAGTGAACTCTTCCCCCATCCCTCAAAGATGTCAAATAGCACTTTTTGTCCTAGGATTATTTCCTCATGTGCATGCCTATGTATACTAGAGAATGCACATGGAGTATATCTTGTGTGGTTTTGCAGCTAGATATACTCAGTGATTTGGTGTAACTCACAGCAAGATGTGCCTTTGAACAAAAGCAGAATCTAGGCCAAAATGTCTTGGGGGACCTGGGGCCTGGAGCATACCTGACGTCATACAGACATCAGCAAGGAGGAGGAATGCTAGTATTAAGCTTATGCAGTTTTCTGAGTGACTAAAATTGTAATTGAGCATGAATGAAGTCTGACTGATGAATAACAGTGCTAAACCTTTTTTAGTGCATTTTCAGTACAGTATGGAAGACACAGACTGACTAATGAGATTTTCTTCACTACTATTAGGAATACCTAGAGAGGCAGATTCAAACCCTTATTAAGCTGCATGATTACATACCATAAGATGTAATTCTTCTTAACAGGGTTGGACAAATTATTACCATCAAAGCAAAGGTGAACAGAGCATTCAAAACCAGCATGGAGGTAAGGGATCATCACTCTTATTCCTAATGATATTTAAAGAACAGAAGAGAGGTGGAAAGAGTAGAGGAATGCAACATGGGTCCAGTCTTACTTGTTTCAGAAGGAGCTTTGTGTGGGTATCTAAACAGTAACACTGCCTAATGAAACTCTGGTTTCATAATGACTATTATAGTTGCGTATGTCCTGTAAAATAACCCATGTCAAAATAGAAACTGGACCCTGAAGACTTAAAATCTTCAGCAGGTGTAATGGACAGGATGGGATAGGTGGTGTTGGTCCAGACCAAAGCTACTGTAATCTAAGCAGTCTTTGGATCAGAGCTAGGATCCACTGAATAGGTGGAGTTCTAAGTATTTTTGAAACTCCTGATACAAAAATATTTATCTCAGGTGTATGCATGTTCTTACTCTTCATATTGTAACAAGTATGCAATGCATTGCCCAATCATTTACTTGAAATCAGAATTGAACCTTAAGGGTACTTTTCTCTGCATTGTGCCCAAGTCCAGTTCTCATTAATATTAATGGGAGTGATGCATCTCACAGAGAATGTATTCCAAAAGGTTCTGAAAATCAGAAAAAAATCAGAAGCTTTGATGTATGTCAGGCTTGTCTCACGGGATCAAATACAGTGTTTCACCTTCACCTTTATACCTTATCTGTATAAATGTTTTACACATTTATACAGACTTTTGCTTATACAGATCTTAGAAAGATTCAGATGGGGACTCCGAATGGCACACAAGTAAATGGAAAGATATCCCTAAAACTAAATCTAAGTGTCTTTCCTGTTTTTTATTTTACCCTACAAGTGATGCTAAACATACCTATACAGCTGTTGTACTAAAGAGCTTTTCAGAGCTCAGCGAATATTGTGATGTTCTTATGTGTTCAGAGATGTATCAGTGATAGCAGAGCTTTTTTTTTTTACCTTTTTTCTTTTAGGTTTAAGAGACAACATGATTAATTTGATAAACACTGCACTGTTTTGTCTCAGCTCAACTCACAATGGTGTAAATACCGGTTTTGTCTCCTTCCTCCACTACCTCCTTCCTTGTAGGTTGGCATCAAGGTTACAGTACAGGATGTTTTGACTGATGTTGAAAAAATTGTGAGTGTGGCATATGCAACATACGTAGCCAAACCAGTTGGTGCTGGAAAGGTATTCTTTATGTTTTCTTCTATGCTTGAAGTTATTGGGACTGAGTTTCTGTGAATTAACCCAACTTTTCTGGTTGTGACACACGGGAAAATGTTCATAACTGTTTATTCTGATCAGTAACAGGAAAACAGCATGAAGTCCAGACTATATGGAGATTTTTTTTTCCCCCCACATCTCTGCTCTGAAGTTGTTAGGGTTTTTTTTATTGTTTCCACTTTCTCTTGCACATTTGCTAGTAATAGAACTGGTGTCTTTGTAAGGGCTGCAATATTGACAGGCGCAAGCATGGGAAGAGAGATCCCTGTGAGTCTGCACGGTCTCCTCTTCAGAAACCGATCTATATACATCTTGAAACCTGCAAGGGTGTTGGAGATGGGGTTTCTTTATCCTTCACTCCCCCTTTTGAGGAGGAGGTTCAGACATCACTATTCAGATAGAAGACATTATTTTTAAGCTAGCTTCCAATCTAAATTAATTCTTTGCCATTTATGTTAATTAGTTTTCATGCCAATGTTGTTTCTTCTCCCCAGTGTTTGGCTCCCCGGAGGTGTTTAGAAATCAGTCACAGTACTGTTTGGCCTTCACATTGCTGTGCCAAACAGGCACAGTTCTTTTAAAGTTTTCATATGAGAAAGGCCAAATATTCCTCAGATCCTCTTAATAAACTCCCTTTGTATGTAGTATTCTTCTTTCTTGAACATGAGTGACTAGAATCATACCTGTGACTTTCCTTCTCATTGAATGTGTTATGACAGTGCATCTGCCTTTTTAACATTCACTGCAGATAGGCAGAGAGCAGTCATCCCATGAGCAATTAATATATCCAATCATTTCTGCTCTCTCTTCTGCAATGATATATTACGGTTTGCAGAAGAAACAGATTGGAACAGTTTTACCAAAACTGAAGTCCAGCTTGTCTCTGAAAGGTTAATGGCTAAATTGGTTAACCTGAAAGCACTAAAATAGTATAAAGTAAGGATTGTTTATTATTAGTTTGATATCCTATCCATGGCATTGACCCATTTACCTTTTGCCCAAATTTCCAGGAAGGTTAATTCAGGATTAAATTGGTGATGATTAACTAAGATTAGGCTTAAGACAGGAATGCCTTAGAGGGAGTTTGAGACTTCAGTTAAAATTCCGTCACAAATTAAAGTCTTGGAGAAATTAAAGAACATTTTTTCAAATCCACTTTTCTGAACAACTGTTGCTAAAGTTGTGCAGAGAGCAACAGTACGCACTCACCATCTTAATCTTTTAGCTGGGCCATTTGGAAAAAGCTAGGAAGTTCTTGAGGAGGGCCAGAAAGGAGGCAAGGAAACTGGAAGAGGGTTTGAGTGAAGACTCAAAGACTGAGAAATTTTAGCAGCACCACTGCAGGACACAAAATGTTGAATTTGTCTGTGTTGCAGTGCTTATGCATTATTTTAAAGTTTCTGAGGCTAGACCTTGTAGACAAATCACACAAGTGACTGTTCAGTGGCACCTCTTCAGTATTTATCTAAATGTAATAATTTTCTTAAGCCAGTACAGGCTTGGATTCAGTTTGTCATTGAACTGACATACATGGGAATTTGCACTTTATGGAGAAGAAGGTCTGGTCTTGGCAAGAGAAGGGTGTCTGTCTGGGCACAAGTAGCATTTTGTGCATAAATGTATAGAGTCTGAAGCTGCAACAAGTGCTGGGTGTTCATGTTTCTCCTCCACCTCAGAAAACCAGTGTTTCCTTGAAAATAGGTCCTCAGATAGATGGAATAGGCTGTGTGAGTATGGAGTGAATTGTGAAAGAGGGAGCGGGCTATTTGTATAGCGACTGGGAGTGGATTCTGGGGTACACTTTCCTGTAGACTACACCACTGATCAATGTGACTGGATTATTTTTCTGATACAAAAATTCAATACTCAAACCTTCATATTAAGATGATCTTTTTTTCTTTTTTCTTTTTTTTTCTTTTTTTCTTTTGTCTTAAACTGTGTGTGCTCTCATAGATGTTTGTATTTAAAAGCTAAAAGCACTTTGTCACTGAGTTTTAACAAATGATTCTGAAAGGATAATGCAGAATTTCTTGAACTTTAACTCTGTGCTTGTTTGTATTAATAGAACTTGTCATCTTGGACAGTTGATAGCAAAAAGTTGTAGAAAATGCTGATGCCATTTTAAGTTCAAAGTGCACTTTGTTATGATTATGGAATTCAGAACCTTTTTTTTTTTTTTTCATGTGCACAGATTGAATTAGAACCTGTAAAGCTTCTGTCTACAGATGACCACCTGGAGCACACCCTGGCTATTGAGAGAAGAAGAATCCGACTGGGCTATGAACAGGTCTTTCAGAACCTAATGCAGGAGAGTAATACGGAAGGTGATTACTATGGTCAGCATAGAAGATGGAACAAATGACTTATGGGCAGCTGGAAGGGAGGGAAGAAGCAGACAAAACAACTCAGTAGAGCTCCTTGAGGTTCTGGTATCATGTAGAAAACCGTGTGCCAGATTTGTGAGGATGTGTAAGACAATTATTCTAATAGAGTAGTATTTCTTTGTCTTTCAGAAATTCCAGATTTAAAAATGCAGGATTGAAGGCCAAGCATGCATTAAATAGATGTGAAATGCAGATCTTCTTGTAGGTTATATGTGTAAGGTTTAACAGTTCACACAGAACTTTGCAATACGGTAATAAAGTCCTATGACACTAGTTGTAATGTAGATAGAAGGATAAAATTCACTCAGGCTTATGGCTTTGTCTTTGCAAGAAAGCACTAGGAACTATGTTGTCGTGGTTTAACCCCAGCCAGCAACTAAGCACCACCCAGCCACTCACTCAGTCCCCCCTGGTGGGATAGGGAAGAGAATCAGAAGAGTAAAAGTGAGAAAACTCAGGGGTTGAGATAAAGACAGTTTAATAGGTAAAGCAAAAGCCACGCACGCAAGCAAAGCAAAACAAGGAATTCATTCACTCCTTCCCATCAGCAGGCAGGTGTTCAGCCATCTCCAGGAAAGCAGGGCTCCATCACACCTAACGGTGACTTGGGAAGATGAACACCACCACTCTGAACGTGTCCCCCCCTTCCTCCTTCTTCCCCAGCTTTATACGCTGAGCATGACGTCATATGGTGTGGGATATCCCTTGGGTCAGTTGGGGTCAGCTGTCCCAGCTGTGTCCCCTCCCAACTTCTTGTGCACCCCCAGCCTCCTTGCTGGTGGGGCCGGGTGAGGAGCAGAAAAGGCCTTGACTCTGTGTCAGCACTGCTCAGCAGTAACGAAAACATCCCTGTGTTATCAACACTGTTCTCAGCACAAATCCAAAACATAGCCCTGTACTAGCTACTGTGAAGAAAATTAACTCCACCCCAGCCAAAACCAGCACATATCTTTATGTCGTGAGATCATTCCCAACAAACAGGAGAAACTTCATGACATGGAGATCAAAACAGGTAAAAAAAATTTTACACTCCTCATGACCAAATTAGAAAAATTGAGCCAAGAAACAGGTTCGTCTTTTTTTCTGATAGTAATCTCTGTTCTTAAAGACTGTTGTTCTCAAAAGTTGCTGTGTTCCCCTGCAAAATAAATTATTCACAACAGTTAAGAAGTATGCTGGTATTTGGAAAATCTGAACTGTAACTCCGTGTATAAACAACAGACATTATGTGGTTTTACTGAGGAAAGATGAAACCTGTTGTAAATATAAATTCTAGTCTTAATTTAATAAGACTGTGTAAAACTGAAGAGACTTGTTTGCTACAAGGAAACAAGTTATTTGTCTTTGTGGTAACTATCTCACAGGAGACAGCTTAATACCACGAAAGACAAATCAGAGATTGCTGATTCTGGTTTCCACTGCCTTTCCTGAAAACTTCTTCGAAGGATCTTATTATTGTTAGCACTAATTCACCTCCTTAAGGAGACAGAACAAGCAAAATAGGGGAAAGAGGGAAGAAAATATTGCAGTAAAGGCTGCCAGGTAGCAAAATAGGTATAAATCATATCCAGAAAGTGAAGTTTGTCTTCCAAGTGGATCTTATGCAACAACTTAAGTAGGTCCAAAGTGCAAGTTAGTCAAATCTGTCCACACATTTATATAGTCATGAAGTTAGTTAATTATGGCAAAAGTCAAAAGTGCAATTCAGGTCAACTAGCTTCTAGCACAGATATGCACTTTTAAAATGACTAACATCATCTCATGCCTAAATCTGTTCTTGCAAAATATAGCTGAAAAAACAAAGATTAGAGTGACAATGTATGGCTAGACATTTGAAAGTGGAATGGGAAATGCTCAGATAATGGAAGGTAGTTACTGGTTCTGATCCATATTTCTCTCTTTCTTGTGTTCTATATTGTCTCTGGTAATCACAAGATTTGTAATAGGTTGTGAAATAATCATGTCATACTCTAACCTTAATTAGACACATTTGCACAGGTGCCCATCATACATGGTGGTCGAAGTCTATGGAAGGCATTTGAGTAAGTGGTAAACTGCTCTGACAACATCTGTTAGAGGTCATGCATAGCAAGCATGAATAATCACAAGCACATGCTGAGGCAGTTGCTGCCTGCATTCACAGCTAGCCAGCTTTCAGAGTAACTGCTTCTGACACAGCTGCTTTGAAGGATATAGTGAGGGCTGGGAAGGATCACTGTGTTGTGATAGATGGTGGGGTGCTCCATCCCCCACCTCTTAACGTCTCTTGGAAGAACAGAGCAAATCTTCAGCCTCTTGCTTCCCTTGCAAAGAACAGAGGTCTTCTGTGTCTTTCTTCTTTTCTTCTTTTAATTGTGTCTGAAGCAAATCGCATGCTTCAGTAACTGGGGGTATTTTCTTTTTGACTGTCAGAGTTACTAGCTGAAATAATTCATTAATACATTGCTGCCGTATTTCAGGTACTTTTGAAGAGGAAGATGCAGTTTCAACTGACCTTACTCACGTACAGAGTATTGAGCTTGTCCAGCCTCCTCATGCAAACCATCATGGAAACACTTTTGGTGGCCAGATCATGGCTTGGATGGAGACAGTGGCAAGTATTTCAGCAAGGTACTTTTCTACATCGTAGTCTTTGCATATGGTTCTAAATGGGTGTGATTTCTAATATTAAGGGTTTCACTGGTATTTATTTTATGAAAAATACAGACACAAACCTTTGTGACTTGTCTTCCTCCTCAGACTGCAGGAGGCCTTTGAACTATTTATGTGGTACATTTCCCACAGCGTGCCACACCGCTGTGGGAGTCAAATATTCTTCTGTTACACATGCAGACCCTAAGGCAAAAGAGGCTATGTTATCCTCCTGAAACTCTCTGCAGAAAGTCAGCATTGGAAATAGAAATAGAAACATGGCTTCCTTGTAGTTGGTGCGGTATTTTAAAAGCAGAGTTAGTCGTTAAGTCAGGATAAAACTGATACTGACCCTGTATCAAATGATATCCAAAAATGAACAGCCTTCTAAATATTAGTCTGCAGATCCTTATGCCAGAAGAAAGAATACATCAGAGAAGAAGAATCAAAAGAAACAGGTTCGGTTTTATTGGTGCGCACACAGAATGGATGCATAAACTTCAGCAAGTCACTTAGCCTTTCAGTCTCTCTCGAGTCCCACATCCTATGGGTTGTAATATTTTTAGCAGTTTAAAGGGCTCTGACATCTTCAGGTAATAAGTGTGAAGTATTTTTCTGACACTGCCTAGTATTGCTTCTCAGCATGGCCTAGACATATAATTATTTAATTTCTCTTCCCCTGAAATCAAACCATTGTTTTTTGCCCTCCTTGTTCTTGGACTCTATACAAAGCTTCTTTGTAAGCAACACTTGAGTTTCAGTTTGAATTCTCCTTGCATACCAAGTGACCTAATTCACTGCAGGGATGTTAGATAGGTTTTCGCTTTTTAACTTTAATAATTAAATTACTTCCCCATTCATTATTCATATAGTTTTGATTTGTAGCCAGTAGTTGTACTGATAACAACAGATTTTCTGTAGTGGTTGGATAAACAGCTTGCTTTAGTAACATTAGAATGCACTGACCTTACCCCAGTGTGTAATTTCATTGGCTTCAAAGGGATTGTTTCAGATTTTTGCCATAATATGACCCAAAATATTTACCTGTTTTCATTTGATGAATTTCACCTAGTGAGAGTCACATTTAGGTTTAAAAAGAAAAGGAAAACGTCGGCAAATGAAGTAGTGAAAAAAATTTCTTTGAAATAATGAATGTCAAACATGATTTATCATCTTGAAAATTTCAGGAATAATAGCTGGTGACAAAGGCTTGTTGAAAACAGAGATTTTGTAGTTTATGCTTCAGAAATAACTAGTCTCACTACAAACCTTTTGTGAGGCCACTCACAATTAGGCCTGACCTTTGACAGTGCCAGTTAGGAGTTGCTATGGCCACAAACTCTGATGGAGGAACAGAAGAGGAGGGCTAACCCTTGAAAAATAAATTTCTAAGGGCATTTTAAAGGTTACTCACCCTCCTTCTCCCCTCTCCCCCCCCCTCCACTTTTTTGGCTGGACAGTAAATGAAAATCTTGCTGATAGCAATAAAGCCATTTGAATATTAGTAATATTAGTTTGAACTGGATCTGTACTTTCTTATTTCTTACACTTGCAGTAAAAGCATTCAGGGCATAGTTTTCCAGGAAAAATGGAATATTTACGCCATATTTCTGTTTTGTTCCTCTCTTATTTTCAGTAATACTGTGCTTGCATCTTTATAGCGAACATTGTAAATAAGATCACCATTTAGCATTCTAAATGAGAAGAGCAAATTATTCTTAATGAAATTACAAAGTCGTTTGAATGTATTAGTCTATTAAAAAGATGTACCAGCCAATTAATTAGCTACAGATAATTGTGTGCATTTAATAATACTGGTACTTTAGTTTGTGGAGTGCAGCTGAGTTAAAAGCTAGGAACACTACAAAGTTGTATTTTCAAGTTTAAAAACTGCACAATGAAAAATCTCTTCTCAGATATGCATATGGGATTCTTTTTGAGGAGTTTTGCACATGTGCATGAGGATAGAGTGTGTTTTTTCAAAGTTTAAAAATAAATAGCATTATTGTATATTGTTCCCTATTCATGTGATGCACCGAGATCCCAATAAAGAGTGGGGCTTTGACTACATTTAGAACTGCTGAAGAGATCTGATTTTTGCCCACTTTGGAGAGCTTGCAGACTAGATCCCAATTCCACAAACCCTTAAGCTGTGTCTGTACTGCAGATTTTTTTCTGGAACGTCTGTGGAGGTCAGAGAAGCGATGAGTTATTGGAACTCCCTAGTGTAGGTGACACAGTATTGCAAAACTTTTCCTTTAGCGGTGTGGCTGGGTTTGATCAGGTGTGTATCTGTTTGTCCACTGTACCGGTCCAAAGAGCAGCTTTGCTCTTAGTACGCTCATGGAAAGGGTACTTGCCTGGCACAGACAATCTTCCGTACTAGACCAGCAAAGTTTTACCACAGTGGCTACAGCCTATTTCACAAGCAGTTCAAAGAGATCCAGTAGGACAATCCAGCTGAACCTGACTACATGTAATTGAACACAGTACAGGATCAGGTCTGAAATAAGAAAAGGCAGGTGAGCTGATGTGCTGTGCAATTGGAAGGACAAAGGGAACAGAATTACTAAGATTTATGTGTTTGTAATACACTATTGTGCCCTCAGCTTTCAAAATTTAGCCAACAGTTCTGTGTTTCTGAATTGATAAGTGATCAGTTCAACATCTTTCTGTCCCTTTGTATGTGCAAAGATGTTTCCCAGCTCAGCACCAGTAGTGAACTGCACATAATTCAGTAAACCAGACCAAATTAAAAAAAAACCCCAAAACTATGCATTTGGCAGTTATATGAGTAGTTTTTTATTCTTATTTCATATAACACTAACAGAAAACATCTGACAAATAAGCAAAAAGTACAAATATTAAAAAGAATAGATAGACTGACATTGCTTTGCTTGAACATTGTTTCTGGTGCTCAACCTTTCTGCTCACGTTTCTTTTAATAGTTTCAAGGCTTTGTGATCTGGCATTTTTACGTACTGAGTGATATCCTGCTCTCCGTGCAGTCATATAGAAATTAATGAAACTCTGTAAGTAAGTGGTTACTCTGTAGGTAAGGGATACATGGTCTCGCTCCAAAAGAACGTAATATCAAACAGCAAGAATTAATTAGTCAGTGTTTGTAAAGTGTGTTGAAAATGAAACAGCATGACATAAGTGGTATTATTAAGTTTGAAGCTTGAATTATGTGCTGTTGGAGCTTAACATGTTAACTGTATTTCAGTGGGTTATGGAATAAATTAGTGTAATATAGTGATCTTCTAGGTTGTGCAAACCTTTTTGCTCTAATCACTACCCACTTTCAAACCTAACAAAGGAGGTTATTTAACACGACTGTATGTTTTGCTTTCTGTCTCTCTTGCTTTCTTTTTCAGCCGCCTTTGTCATTCATATCCCGTCTTGAAATCAGTCAATATGTTTAAATTCTGGGGACCATCTGTCGTGGGTGACCGCCTTGTCTTCAAAGCAATTGTGAACAATACATTTCGGACTAGGTACAGCTCCTCATCTGCTTGTCTTCCTTGACTCCTCCAGCACCAGCCTAACAGCATGTTTCAGGTTTCAGCTATCAGTAGGATTTGCATTATTGAATGAATTATTTTTCGGCTGGAGCTTTAAGGGATGTATCTATATCTATAACTATCTGTCTATATGTGCTTTTTTTTTACTTTTCTCAGTGAGTTTTTAAAAATTTATTCTCTGACTTTCACTCTCAATTTAAAGATCATTTGTAACCAAATCTCAATCCTGCAAACTCAGCCCATAAATACAATTCTGAAATTCAGGGATTTTCAAGGGATGAGTTGGTCCCACAGCTTTGATTCTTTAGAGGACTCCAGCTTGCTGCCAGGATCTTCCTGTCTTGGCATCTATTGACAGATCTGGGTTCTATTTATAGCTGGTTACTGGCAAAATTCATGGTTTGTTTTGTTTATTTCTTCCCAGTGTTGGTTTGGGTGTACGCAGAGGTGAGGCTTTGCCCACTGCAGTTTGGAATAAATGGCTACAGCCCATGCTGAAATTTTATCTTTAGTTGAGTATATGGTCACTGTAAGCGTGAAACATAGATTTTGGCACACTGAACACCTGCTCCTGGAATTTAGCGGTGTGGCTGTTGACCAGTCTTGCACAGATCCTGCCTGCTAATCGTTACGTTCTCTTTCTCTTTCCTGTGCACACTCTTTCTCTTTCCTATGCTCCGCTGCAGTTTTAGGGCTACTGTTGTGTTCGCCTCACAGAGAATGACTCTCCTCTGACCTCTGGCAAAGGGATAGCACCTCTCTGCTAGGCTATTTCCCCATCTACGGAATGGCGCTTTGGGCCAATGGACCCACTGGTTATGCCAGGGGTGTGACACAACATATATGGAGCCCTGTTCCAGCAGGAGGACATGTTCAGAAGTTGCAAGAAGTGTAGCAAGATAAGCCACAAGAAGGCAGAAGCTAAAGTAATTCCCCCTCCAAATTCTGCACACGGGACAAATGTTATCCTGGCATTGCTGTTCTATGGCTGTTTTCTTTGTAGGTGTATTTGGTCTCCACAGAATGCTAGCAGGGCATGAATTACCTTCATATTATGCTTCTGCTGGATGTCAAATCAATACCATCCTGTTCACTTTTGCTGTCTCTTCTCACAGTATGCTTCCCGGTGTTCATATTTTGCTACTTGGCTCAATTTTCGCTCTTTTTATTAATGCTATTTAGCCAGTGCTACCTTTTATTTTATTTCTGAAATGTGTCTGTCCAGACTGAGTAATGTATTTTGTATGCTACAGAAGGTATTTGAGTCAGGCTTCCTGCACACAGGAAGGTGTACAGCAGCCCTTTTTAGTATGTCTCAGGGCTGCTTCTGCATCACTTGTAGCAGTTCAATAATCAATTAAACTTTTATTTCAGTGTGGAGGTTGGTGTCCGTGTTGAGGCTTACAACTGTGAAGAATGGATCAAGGACCAAGCACGGCATATTAACAGCGCGTTTCTCATTTTTAACTCTGTAAATGACAAAGGAGAGCTGCTCACCTTCCCCAGAATCAAACCTACTACAAAGGTCAGCTCTCTCCTCAGGAGGAGGATGAATGCATACATGAGATTATGCGGTCCAACCCAGCACCGTGCGTGTCACACAGCCAGCCCCTATAACCTTGCTGGGAAAGCAAGGACTAAACAGGGCACTGAAATGCATCTTCTTGCGGAACAGAAAACCTCTAAATGAAATGTTTGCCTTTGAGTGAGAGATTTGTCATTATTAACTTCAGTCATCCAAAACTGAGAGGCGTAGTGGGGGGAAGTCATCATTAGAAATTCTGTAGTTAGCTGATGGACAAGGAAGAAGAATCTGCTTTTTGCAGATTTTTGCACCTGTCTATATCTGTTGTGTGCAATCTCCACTGACTGTAGATGAATTTCCTAAGTGTTCAGTGAATAAAGTTATTTTTATAAACCCTTAATGAAGATGAGAAATAGAGTTAATAAAGAAGTCTGTAGGAATCAAATCCCATGACAGGGGTGGGCTTTCCAGTTCCTTTGATATGGAGATCTCAGCATGTGTTTCTCTGAAAGTGGTTCATGAAGCACTCGGAGCAGTTTGAATACTATTGTTGAATTATTTGCTGTGATGTCACCTGTCATTAACCTCACTGCTCCAATTACGAGATTTTTAGAGAGCCAGCATAGACAGAAATGAAACAATTATTTAACATCAGTGAACTTATATTTTATAGGATGGCAGCTGGACAAATAAATCAAGGTGTCCTATGTACTAGCTGAGGCAGTGAGGTCCACTACTGCCCATTACAGGCTGTTCCAAGAGGAAAAACTGACTCTTCCTCTTTTTTTAAAAAAAAAAAAAAAAAAAAAAAAAAAGCCCTAGCAGCTTAGTTTCTGTCAGAAAAACAGTGCTTCCCTTAAAGACCTGCCTAGAGGGGCATCCACAAGCTAAGCTTCAATGTAAGAACATGTACACCCATTCCTTCAGAGTAAAGCAAACAAATCTGGGAAAATTAGTATGTGCTCAAGGTAGTTTAAACTTTCAGTGGTCATTTGACTGAAAGTGACAGCTGGTATGGCAGTGCTCTACAAAACAGGCAAGAGATGTCTTCAAAAAGTATTATGTAGTCCTTGGTTTAAAGAAGGCTGCGACGCACTGATCTGAAGACTCTTCTTATTCCAGAAGCTACATGTCAGCTCTTAAAAGCTGAGGAAAAGAAGCTTTTCCAAAGTGGCATATCCTTCAAGATAACAAGTCCTACTGACCTTTAATGCAGTTTGGTGTGGTGTATGCTCTTGGGTCACTTCCATGCTTCAAAAAACTCCACCCTGGCAGAGTAAGAATAAGGGAAGGGAAAGACCTGCCACCTTGAAGGGCAGATCACATCTCTTTGCGCAGTGCTTGCTGTGTCCCAGATCCATGTGCACTAAAATAGGAATTCTTCCATGCTTCCTTCATGCTTTGAACATCAGATGATGATTAATTGAATTGGTAGCTTGTTTGGTGGGTGGCACATTTAGAAAGAATAGAATGTGTGTGGTGCACTGCCCAGCTGCCACTAGTTTAGGACCAAAAAGTGCTAGGAGTATGCTACTGTGATACAACTTCTTTTATTGGATTGTTTTTGCAAATTTAAGGGAGTATTGTCAAGTCAAAAGTAAACCACTGACTCAGGTTAATCTGGGGAAAGGCCAATGTACCAAGTACAATTCTTTATTTATTTGTAATACATCTCTGGCATTTGTCCATCTGTAAGAAAAAAATTTTAGTTGTCTTTTTTTAGACTGTGTCCTAAAATAATTAAATGTGTTACTCTCTGCTTTACTTTTTATAAAGGATGGTATGAGGCGATACCTTGGAGCTATTGCCCGAAGGAGAATTCGACTAGCCAGGTATAGTTGGGTTACAAGGAGAACTTGATTTTGAAAACTTAATTTTTTAATGTATCCTCTAAAAAAGTGGTCATTTGTTAAGTAGTCAAAGTCTCCTCAAAAATAACTGTTAAGTTGCTTAACTTTCCAAATAATTTTGCCTGAGTTGCATTGAAATTATTAGAGGCTACTTGTCTCACAAATACTTTGCTCTATAGGTTATTTTGTTTCCCCATCTTGGGAAGAAAAAGGAGTTACTGCAAACCCTTCTTGCAACCAAAACCTGATAAAATACCTGTAACGTATTTAGAAGACACTTCAGCCTATAGAAGTGATTGTTTCTAGCATCTATAGAAGAAAGTATAGAGAAGGAATTCATGCTATTATTTTTCTTTTGAATTTTGTTTTAGAATTGAATTTTATTTTGGAAAAGGTATGCTGTCTGCTAAAGAAAAACCTTCAGATCCCTGGGAGAGAAGCAACCAGGTAATCTGTAGACCGTGTCCTATTGTCTACTTGCATAAAATGGTGTATTTGTACAGTTTTTGGGTGTGTAAAACAGTTGTACGGGCCATATTGAAGCCACCGAGGCGAAGGGCTCCGGAGCGGAGGATTGCACTGGGGTACCCTTCCTAAAGCGGCAAAACCGCAGCAA